TAATTTGTCTTTTTTCTTCTCGTCAATCATCTGCTCTATCAGTCTATCAATCATTACTATTAATGTTATTTGTTAATAAATTCCTGTACGTATACACATGATACTTTTACTAAATTTAGTAATAATAAGTAAAAAAAACCAAGTAAGTTTTTATAACATAAGGTAATGATAGAAAGAGAATTTGAAAATTATACAAATTTTGTATATACGGCTAAATATTGGTAAAACTCAGCAAAGTATTATCAATATCAAAGATTAAGTTTAAAAAAAAAAACACCTTCAACTTCACAACAAACGACGAATCATACGGCAGGCTCAAGAGACAATTTGCGATAGACATGATTTTTCTACGTGATAACCGCACGACACGTAACTTTTACGTTTTTTTCTTTGTGCATGACGACATGTTATTTTTACGTTTTTTTTTCTTTTTGCTTGATAACTACACGACATGTTACTTTTACGTTTTTTTAACGTTCGTTAGCTTTGTTATTCCATGCATCTGTATATGCTGTGTGGTAATTGCTAAGAATAACTCATATTAGTTCATTAATTTTGGAAACATTTGAAAGAATTTACAAGTTGTGAAAGAATGAAAGAATTTACAAGTTGTTATTTTAATGACATGAAATAATGATGAAAATGTATGTCAAAGAAAAGGATAAATTTGACAGCAATTTATGCTTGTTTTTAAGCATCAAAATTATATTTTAATTTTTTTAACGAAATAATGACGAAAAGTAATTGTTTACATGTCTGAATTTTTCTCGTGGCAATTGTTTACACGTTTGAGTTCATTATGATTTCATTCATTTATTCATTCATATGATCGGTATCAACAAATCATTTAGTGACATTAAAATATTTCGATATAAATTTATCCTAATGAAATGATTAATTTATCAATTTTTTTTGTTTATTATTAATTCATAATTTGTGTGTCTTGTTTCAAAATAATGATTAATTTGAGATAAAAAAAAGAAAAAATGAATTATAATATTTTTTTATTTGCTAATTTTGTCACCGATAATTTTGTGATCATACTTGATCTCACTATATTTTTTCAACTAGAAAGATTCAAATTTCAATATGCTACCGAAATCATATATGTTATTATGATTGATTATAAATTATATTACTTATCTTTCTTTTTTCTTTGACTTCATCTATCTTTTTATAGTTATTGTATTGAAATATCTTTATGATTTTTGTAAACTTCATTAGACTAATTCTTTTGCAGATTTATTTATTTGATTAACTGATGGTGTTGTTGACAGATTGGATTGTTCCTGACATGTTGAAGATTCGAAGAAGTGATGCTTTGCTTGTACCGCTTCATTCAGTGATGATGGTAATACACATTCTTTTGTTTCCGGTAGAATACATGTTAGAGTTCCGGCAATTATAGCTATTAATCCAAAAACGATAGTCGGTAATAATGCATGCACTGAACTCTATAAAATTATAAATTAATATGATGAAATGATCAAAATATGGTATGATCGTAGCAAATTAAAACAAATATTTCGGTGTTGGAATTTCGAGAATAATTTTTTAAAAAGTAATTTTAAAGAATAAGTTCTTAATAAATAATTCATAATAAAATGGCACAAGTATATTTAACAGAATTTTAATCATACTAAAAGAAAGTAGTATTTGATGAAAGCCGAATAAAATTACTAATCTTGATTGAAAGTGAAAATATTTTTTTTTCCTTTGTTTTCTTTCGAAACTTATATTAAAACAAAAAAAAAAATGAAAACTGTTTAAGTGTATTCATTATAATGCAAGAAATTTTATTTACTAATGTTTTGTTTTCTTTGGATAAAGATAAATAATAGTATAATATTCCAGTGAAAGGAAAGCTATAACAGTAAAATGGTGATTGTTATCATTATCTAATGATTATTTAAACATATTTTAAAAGGAAACGAAAGATTATTTGAAGAAGATTTTAAAATTTATTCCATGTTTTTTACAATTTTTCCTTTGAATTTTCCGAAAATAATGGAATGAAATTTAAGGAAAAATACAAACCAATACGATAACATATGGTGCAACAACACCACCAAATCGTGCAATCACAGCACATAATCCTAAACAAGCATTACGCATTGTTGTAGGAAATATTTCACTTCCATATACATAAATACACATAAATGACGATGAAATTCCAAATTTTGATATTAGCCAACATAAAGTTGATAACCAAACACAATCTGAAAAGCATAACTTTTTGTTTTGTTTGATAGTTTTTTTTTGTTTTATTTACATTGATTTGGTAACTAATGCTTTGTTTAAATTACGACAAGACTGAAGCAAATAATCAATTCCTTAATTTTACAATGAAATAAATACTTACACCTTCATTCTATATTAAGTTAGATAGTCAATGATTTAACTTGAAATAAATAATCCAGGTAAGCAACCAATTTGAGGTAAATAAATAATCAATGCTTTGATTCACTTATCATTTTTTTTGATATCATTTTGTTGACATAATTGATTGATCAAATTAAGACGAAACATTTCACTATTTATATAATATTTTTACAGTGTAAAATAATTTACCGTTCGGTAC